GCTGTAGAATCATCAGATTCCTTGGCCCGCTTAGCTGATACCAACCAGATATTTCTCCTCCCCTGTGTGTTTTATTAGCGCAAACGTGTTCAAGCCCCAGTTTTTACACCAGTGCATTATTCGTGCTGAGGTCACCAGGGTCATCCTTTTTGATGTTCCCCTGGCCCTTCTGCAGAGTGTCTCAAGCAGGCAGCCCTGTGAGCTGATGAGCTGTGCCCAGAATGGGCTCCTGGCCTGCTTGTGTTCTTCTCATCGGGTGCTTCCCTTTGCATGAACTCAGCATCGAGTCAACAGCAGGCAGACAGACCACGCGAACCACCCTTCAGCAGCTGGATCTTGTTCTGTGGTGTGCAGAGGTGCCTAGATGTTGGTATTGCAGCGCCCTCTAGTGTCTCTGGTGTTCAGCTGTTCCGTTTTTCTTCTATTGCAGAAAATGTTGACAAACACATAATCTGCCAAAATTGGCAGCATTTTAAGTATGCTTTCCCATACCGTTGTCTCTTGTTTGGAATGTGAGCTTTTCCTGAAGATAGGATAGCATCCTCGCTCTGCTGTGTTTTTGTTTCACAGCGTGGGGGACGGGATTCGGATCCCTGTGGGAATAGTTCTTCTGAGTACTCTTTCTTGAGATGCCCCTATTCGGGACATCTACTCTTTACAAGGAAAGAATGTGAATTCTGCTCAAAAGAAATAAATGAAAACGAGAAACTGGAAAGTTTACTGAGTAAAGGAATTTAAAAACAAACAAATCAACCCCTGGCAGTAAGAACTCCATTTATTTATTCTAGAAAGAGGAGTTCTCCAAAATAACTTTTGAACTAGAAATTTATCATCTGAAGTCAGAGCATTTTGAGGTATTTTTTAATCTAAAGGAGTCAAGTTATTAATATTTGAAAAATGGCTACTATGTAGTACATAGAATGATATAATATTCCTGCCTAAATTAACATCGTTGCAGCTTCCATAATAAAGATTTATGAGCTACCTATCATGTGAAATCCTATTATGGAAATCTCCATAAGTCCATATTTGGGTTATAACTGGCTCCGTGGTTATAAACCAATTAAAAGTTCAGTACCTTTCTTCTCTTTTACGCTTCATTCTCTCGTTTATTATTTGCCCTTAAACTAGATTGACCCATTATTCCCCAGCCCTGTGTGTAAATGCACAGATAAGGAGTGCTGCCTGTTCAGGTTCTCCTGGGCAAACCATTTTCCTCCCAAACATCCAAAGTAGTGGAGCAATTTATCACCTCTTCTTTGTAAGTCACTCTGATCTTTATCTCAATGATCTCTGAAACTAAACATACATTCTAGTTGTAGAATCCACGCTCTTATCTACTTCCAAAACTTTGGAAGATTTCATAAAAATATGCCTGACTACCTCTCCGCATACATGCAGAGGAAATTAGACTGTCACAGTTGGGCTATCTCCTCTACTTCTGATGTTGAACCACCACACAATGAGGGTATCTTGGCGTAGAAAAAAGCAAAAGCTTGGTTAAACCATTTTCTTTTAGAAGTAGGTTGGCTTCCTCAGTCTAGAACATAATGCTGTCCTTGGCATAAATGCTGACTACTTTAGCTGGGTGTGGCTCTTAGCTATACGTGGGAACCTGAGGCAAGAGGATTACTTCCTGTTTGATACTAGCCGGGGCTCCATCGTGAGTTTCTGGCCAGACAGGACTCTTCATAGGAGACTCTCTTAACAAAACAAAAACAAGGAAATCTTTGAGTCATTTATTAGCTGTCTTCATCAGACCAGCAGTCAGAGCCACTGCTATGGCAGGTCGCTCTCAGAACTTAAAGGGAAGAGGAGTGGGACAACATGAACACTCTCGCACATCATACAAACAGTGTGCATGTGTGTGTGTATGTATGTATGTATGTATGTATGTATGTATGCATATATATAGGCTTGGTCTCTTTGAAAACAATAAGAAGTTTCTGTAAGATTGTATTCTTTTTAACATTTCCAAGTGGTCTGATTGGTTAGCAACATTGCATTTGTGTATCTTATTCGTGTGTAGATTTCCTTGATATGCTTGATCTCATTTAATCTCTCCTACCGCCTGTGAGGTAAGGGTTCCATATTCTTTATGTTGTTTGCTTTGTTAGGCAAGCTGAGACCCAGAGGAATTAAGTGAGCATGCCCAAGAATACTCAGCTATTGGCAAGGCTAAATCCCGGGCCTGAGTCCTTGGGAGTGTCCTTTCTGTAACGTGACAACCCAGTTTAATTTGTAGTCTCATTTAACCAAGCTCAATGATATCTGATAGGCTTTTCAAAGACGGAGGAGCTGGGACCCTGGGACCTCCATTTTAGCGGGCAGTATGATATGAAGCAAATTATAAACCGCCAATGAGTTTAATGGTGCCATGTGCCAGGTCTAACCCACCCCCATACAACTAAATTATGGCTAGTATAGGATTTTAAATACCTGGTGACACATAAACATGAAATATTGCCATCGGCGCATTATAGAAGGAATTCATGCGATTGATGCGCATATAGGATATATCACACTGCATGTGCTAGAGACTGAGAGCTTTTCAAAGATGATGTTTTCTGAAAGATATATGTTTGAACTTGAACTCTGCCTGAGGACATCTATTTCAAGACCAGAAGTTTGCTTTAAAAAAATTAAAAATAAATAAAGCATTTTTCAATCTGATTAGGTAGGTATGTGGCAGAAGACTTGAAAGACCTTGGTTTTGGATGTCTCCGTGGATATATACGGGCGTATTTCCATGGCATGGAGCGGTGACATCAAGTCTCTAATTGTAATAAGCATAGGCAATGACAAAGAGATGCTGTTCTCCCCAGAGACTCCCTTGCCCTTTTTTCTTTCATTTTTAATTTCTTTATGAATAGAAATCAGTGCATGCTGCTTCTCCAAACAGGGCATCCATCCGTATCTCCTAAGATGTTTGCAGTTTTCTTTTTAAGTAAAATGGATAAAATGCAACTTTTTAAACTTGACTTTTTTTCATATTACTGTAAGAAACAGGCGGTATCCATACACCAAGAGCACATACTCCTGGAGTCTGTGATGTTAGGTGTGTGGTGTAGACCGTTGTGGTCTGTGGACCAGGGCTAGACTGCGCCTCCACTGTCAGCCTCTCCAAGCCCATTGGGCGGTTTCATTTGTTTATTGCTTTTATAGTCCTTTGAGGTCAGAGCTTCTTTCTTGAGTCATGCCTACTTCATAGAATTTCTTATCGAGGTCTTACTGCCTGATGTTGGTATGGGGGCAGAGCCAGTCTAGATAGAAATTTCTGTAGGCCGTAAGTGAAGCTTTGTTTTGCTGCTGTTGTCTTCTGGCTAGGAGAAGGGTAGAGTAGGACAAGCTTTGCCGTTACAGCACACTGCAAACTCTTAACATATATCTGGACCTTATCCTTTCTTTTAACAAAAAACATAAACTGGACATGCAGCATTTCTTGGTGATAAAAACATTCAAAATCCTTCCTTCTGACTTTTTGAAATTAATTATGTATTATCTATAATCATACTGTACAAAACATTTGAATTTATACCTCTGACCTGTTTATAACTGTTGCCCAGCCTTCCCAGCCTCTGATAGCCATGATTTCACTTCCAGCTTCTGAGACCATCCTTTAGGACCCACATCTGACTAAAATCACACTGTGGTTTGTATGAGCCTGGTTTATTTTACTCAGCAGATGGCCTCTACTTCCATCTGTGTGATCACAAATGACAGAATGTTATTTTTTTTATGTACATGTGTCCTATTTTACTTATCCAGTCAGTGATCAATATAATTTCCATTTCTTGCCTATCAATAGTAAACACTGGAATGCGGCTCTTCCTTCAACAGTGCAGTTTCCTTTCTCGCGGCTATGCAGTGAGCTCGCTAGGTCATATGGCAGCTGTTTCTCGTCACTGGAGGCTCCTCGCTGTTTTCCACAGTGCTCTGCTCCTTTATGTTCCTCCAGCAGTGTGCGCGAGGTCCTCCTCCGCTCCCACCAGCTCTTTTATTTTTGTAACAGCTTTTATTTTTTTCTATGATTTATATTTTCTACTTTTTAATTACGTATATGTGGGGGTAGTGAAGTGAAGCAGCATCTGGTTGTTCTGGAGCTAGAGTTACAGGTGTGATCTTCATGGCGCGGGTACTGGGAACTGAACTCAGGGTCTCTGCAAGAACAGTTAGTTCCTAACTGGTAAGCCATTTCTCCAGCCCCTATAACAGCCATTCTAATGGGAGTGAGGTGATACGGTTTTGATTTGCCTTTCCTCATGGTCGTGTGTGTGTGTGTGTCCATCCCATTGTATGTCTTATACTAATTATTTTTCATTGGTTTGTTTGAGTTTTAGTTATTTTTTCTTATTGTTAGTAGTTTTTGGTTAGTTGGTGTTTTTATTTTTAATTTCTTACATATTCTGAATTTTGGCCTCTTCTCAGATGTGTGGTTTCAAATATGTCTCCCATTGTTTTCTCTTCAATGTGTTGACTTGTTTACTTTGTGGTACAGAGGTTTTTAGTCTGATGTAATCTCATTTGTCTATTTATGCTTTTATTGCCTATCTATCCCTTTGGAGGCTTGTACACAATTTTTTTTTCCTGTTCTAACATCCTAAAGCCTTTTCCCTGCTGGTTTTATAACCTCGGGTCTTGGGGTTAAGTCCTTAATTCATCTTGAGTTGATTTTGTAACTGGTGAGAGCTTAGAGGTCAAGCTTCATTCTTCTGCATGTGCACATCCAATTTCCCAGCACCATTTGTGGAAACCCTCGGTCTGCTTTGAAGGGCTGTGTGAAAGCTTCACGTGGGACACGGAAAGCACTGCGCACAGCCTTGAAGGTAGGGGCCCATGAGAAACGGTTGCCACCAACAGTGGTCACTCAGCACAGGGCCGGCTGCCTCACTCTTCCCGAAGACGTCACTGTGTGTCTGTGGGTTCCAGTCAGTCATCCTCAGCATGTCCTCAGTCTGTTATGGAAGGGAGGTTAAGTCGTGTTCCTTCCTCTCTTTCAGATCTGTAAGAGCAAAGCTCAGGAATCTCAGCAGTATTACCACAGCTTGGCTGTCCGGCAGAGTCTGGCTGTGCATTTTAACATCCAGCAGGATTGTGGCCATTTCCTTGCTGAAGTCCCTAATCGTCTGCTTCCCTGGAAGGATCCTGATGCTCCTGAAAAGGCAGAGGACGAAACTGAGAACAGTGAGGAAGAGGTAAAAGCAGAAACTGCCGGGGAAAACCCCCAGCCCTGCTCTGAAACAGAGTCGTCCCAGAAAAAGAACCAGCGAGTCACGAATAGGAAACAGAGAAGCCATGTTGTAGTGATCACCAGGGAGGTTCCCCATCTCACTGTGGCCGACTTTGTGCGAGATTCCTTGGCCCATCATGGGAAAAGCCCTGACCTGTATGAGAGGCAGGTGTGTCTGCTGCTCTTACAGCTGTGCTCCGGCCTCGAGCATCTCAAGCCCTACCATGTCACTCACTGTGATCTGCGCCTGGAGAACTTGTTGCTTGTCCAGCACCAGCCTGGGGGAGCTGCCCAAGGCCCTTCACCTGCAGATCCTGGCCCCCCCTCAGCTTGTCCCACAAGGCTCATCGTGAGCAACTTCTCGCAGGCCAAGCAGAAGAGCCATCTGGTGGATCCCCAGATCCTCCGAGACCAGTCCCGCCTTGCCCCAGAGATCATCACAGCCACCCAGTATAAGAAGTGTGATGAGTTCCAAACGGGCATCCTCATCTATGAAATGCTGCACCTGCCCAACCCTTTCGATGAGAACCCAGAGCTGAAGGAGAAAGAGTACACACGCACAGATCTGCCTCGCATCCCTCTCCGCTCCCCATACTCTTGGGGCCTGCAGCAGCTCGCCAGCTGCCTCCTAAACCCCAACCCTTCTGAGCGCATCCTCATTTCTGACGCCAAAGGCATCCTCCAGTGTCTGCTCTGGGGCCCCCGTGAAGATCTCTTCCAAACCTTCACCACCTCTGCAACCCCAGGACAGAAGAGTGCTCTGCTCCAAAACTGGTTGGACATCAAGCGAACACTGCTGATGATCAAGTTTGCTGAGAAGTCCCTGGACAGAGAGGGGGGCATCAGCCTCGAGGACTGGCTTTGCGCTCAGTACCTGGCTTTTGCCACCACAGACTCCCTGAGTTACATTGTGAAAATCCTGCAACACCGTTAATGTGGCCTGGATCTCGTTCTTATTATTAAGTATTTCTACTTTCTTCGTGTTGCCCTCAGGTCCCTGTCCTGTCCTATACTCACTCAGAATTCAGGAAAGGAGAGAAGCTAACCTGCCATCCTTGTCCACGAGCAGAGGGGGCCATTCAGCAAGGTCATCCACAGCTTTACACAGTGAGAAGCCGAGTGTTTCCTTACTGTCCAGAAATTCCACTGCACAGCCGTGCAGTCACCCTCCCGTGGAACATTTGTCATCTGAATAGCCCCACAAACCTGGGGTCAGGAAGGAAATGGACAGCCACGGAGGACCAGCTCCGGCGGAGTGCACTTAGTAAGCTGCGTCCACCTCTTCCAGAACTGAAGCTAGTCTGCCTGTCCTCACTAGCTAGCGGCACACAGCCACCAACATCGGCTGTCCTCCAGGGATGCCCTCCCAGCAGCTTCCTCTTCCTGTAAAGTACCCACAGCTGCCTCTTTCCCAGGAGGCATGCCACTTTGCTTCTCGGCTCAGTTTTAGTCACTGGGGACTGGCCTGTGTCCTGGCCGAAAGTGAAAGGAGAGGAGGTTCCCGTCTGTCGGGTGGCGGGTCGTCCATTCGTCCATTTCCATTCACCCTTAGCAAATGTGTACCCTACACAAAGAACCACCCGACAGCAGCAGCCCCGCCGCCACTGCTTGGCTGGCCTTCACCTTTACTCCGTCCCAACCTGCTGAAGTTTGGGTCTTTCATCCGCTTTTGGGGCCCCGTTACAGAGCTGACCGGAGGTGGTGTCCCCAATGCCTCAGCAGGATGGAATGCAGTTCAGAGTTTATGAATAGTTGGCAGGACATGAGAAAATAATGTCCTTGTGTGTGCAATTCTCCAGGGGCCCTCAGGGAACAGACTTTAAAGTACTGTTCTTTGATCACTATCAGACCTAATGGCACGGCAGCCCGGACTGGTGGTGGCTGAGTCAGTGTCCCCCACAAGCGGCAACTGGCCACCTCCCTTCCATCGGTAGCCAGTATCAGCTACCCTGCCAGATGCTGTAGACAGTGGCTCTGAATGAAATGGCTGTCCACTTTAGCATTACCATTGCCTTAGAAGGCACCTCAGAGCTGGCTGTTGAAATGGCCAGAAGGCAAGGGAGGAGGGGAAAGCCACTAAGATGGCTGGCCTGCTCCTAAGAATGCCAGCCTCTTCCAGAAGGACCGCCTCCCAGAGTGAGTGGCCCACTGCTCCGAAGACTTTGCGGTGGCCTCGGTAGATGGCCGAGAGCTGTTCCTGTGGGACCTGTGCTCTCCCATGAATTATGTGCAATTTTTGTATGTATTTTTAATCTGTATATTACAGTGTTTATGTTGCAACTTTACCTGAGTGAGAACTACAGAAACCTTCCTCTCTTCCCTTGGCACATACTTGCGCTAAGAAGCGAGTATTCTTTCCACCTGTGTGTGTGTATGTTCGCTCATGCACTTGTTGTATTCAAAACTGTGAGTATCTGTTTACTTCAACCTCAACATCCCAAGAGTCACTTGAATGGTAAGCGTGTACACATGTGTGCCTGTGTGCACACACATGCTGGAGGTGGGGACCAGGCCTCCAGGGAAGCAGCCTATAGCAGAGTTCTCAGACCTGTTCTTTGCACCCTGCCAGTGAGGAACCTGGGGAGCCCTCATCCACCAGCGCAGAGTCATCGTAAAGCCAAGACTGATTGTGCAGTATTACTTGGGTGGCACCGTAGTGGCCTTGGACATTTCTAGACTTTTAACATTTTTAACAGCCTTTCATGTGATTCACCCTTATCAAAGAGAATCGAAAAAGGAGAATGTATTTTATTATTCATTTTTAAAGAGAATAATATGTGTGAGTCTGCATAGGGAGGATGGCCTTGTGTTCCTGGCTAGCTCTCCGAACTCCCAGGCTAGTTGGCTCACGGAGAGTCTCGGCCCTTCTAGATAGCATGACCGTGGAGTGGGCAGCCGTGGATCGTGGTTGCATCACACCTAGCCGGCTGGGGTTTGATTCGTCTTACATGGCCCATGTGCACATAACTCCCCGCCCAATTATGCACTGAACTGGCAGCGTGACGACCACTGGCCGGGTCAGCTGGCACAGTCCTTCACTCCACACAGCGTCTGCAGACTGAGATGCTTTCTCAGTGTCGCTCTCATGGTGCCTTGCCCATGTAAACCCAAACGTTGACTGTGGAAGGAGGTTACATATTTAATGCAGAATGTTCCCTAGCCCTCTGTTTGTTCTGTCTGTAGATACCCTTTTCCTGTTAGCTTCGACCCAGCCTTCTCTCTCATGCTGCGATAAAACAAGCATGCGCACTTCCGCTGCCACTGCCTCACCGCGCTGGTAAACAGCGCTCTCTGTTCCACGTGATGCCCTCACCGCGCTGGCAAGCTGAGCACTCTCCCTTCCACGTGTCTCTCACTGTTCTTAAGTCCACACAAGTGAGAGGCGAAATAAAAGCCTAGTGACAAGAGAAGGGCCTCAGCTTCCCAGAGACGGGTAGCTGTGTTACCCGCCTCTGGGGAATCGCCACAGAATGTGGTGGACAGGAAGAGGATGTCCTAGGTTAGGTCAGAACAGACAAGGATTGTATTTCTAGGCAGAGTCCATCAGGTGGTCCTCTGAGCATTTCTCAAAATAGTGAAATTCAGTCAGTATAACTTTATCATAGATTCCCATTTTAATTCATCTGTCGGCTAAAGGGAACTCCTACCCTCTGCAGACACATACACACATATATACATACATATATTATGAATTTTGGAGTGTCACTGGTCTAGCACTTGAAGTTCTCCTAAGTAACGTCTGTATTGAGCGGATTGTTTTTTCTTTTAAAGTCTATGCCATAGATTCTTCCATTACATTGAGAGTGTGAACAGCCAAGCCCCTTTGGAGCTTTTCCTTCAGCCGCGTGAACACAGTCTCAGCACGTGTGGACGCTAGAGAATCAGGACTGTGGCTGGAGCAGGCAGCAGTAAATGTCTCTCTCAGAGTGCCTTGTTAGCATAGTAACCTAGCCATGGAAATAAGAAGTGTTTCACAGAGAGGCCCAGGCTACCAGCAGCCTCCTGTGCCGCAGAGGAGAGCCCTTTGGGGATGTGTTCACCCACACAGTGTGCAAAAGCTCACCATGAAGGACAGCAGTTAGATGAGCAAACGAGCAACAGAACCCGTGGGGGGGCAACATGAGATTCATGAACATCACCAGCCCCGAGGCTGAGTCAGACTGGCAGGCAAGCCAATGGCAGTGGCTTCCAGGATTTGCTCTCAAGAGGTGGGCTGAATGGGGTCGTGGGGGATGTGCGCTCCTGCTCCTAAACTGCTGGAGCTGGGGCCAAGAAGCACATCCCTCAGGAGCTAGCAGAGCAGCCTCCGGAGCATCGCAGGAGTGTGCCAGTTCTGCCTTGGAGCTCAGGGTGTATTCATGAACGTGGAAATCTGAGCCTCCAGGAGGATCCATGTTTCTAAGAGCAAAGCCTCTGTTGTCACAGAATCCCAGGAACAATCTTGACGCCCACGGAGTAGCAGGTCACGGAAGGCTTACACTCAGCTTTCCACATTTAATTCATCCGATACCGGAAAATCACCGGGCATTAGCCGGTGACCTGCCTACCGTCAGGATTTTCCCATAGCTTTTACCCAGAGTGATCCAAAAAGATACAGGCTAGTCTCAAAAACTGGGGTGGATTTTGGAGGCATCATTGTATTTCAAGTAATTCTGGGTGTATAAAGCACACACACTTGGAAACGGGACAAGAGGAACTCAGCTCGCTGGGCCAGCTCTGGCATGCTGGTCATTCCCCTCTCTAGTGGGTAAGGATTGGGATTCTGATCCAGTCTAATAAGTGAACAGGATAGCTGCCCATAAAACTGGGTTATTAGATTTACTTCACTGAAGCTCATCTTCTCAAGGGCCCAAAGTGCTGCGCTGAGACAGACCCAAGTGCTGCCCCTGCGGAAGTGTGCACTGAAGTCCACCTGCCCACACTCACAGCAGTGCACAGCCGGAGACCTCACGGCCCCAAACCAATGCCCCCACAGGAGGTCAGAAGAGCCGTGATGCATGATCCTAGACAGGTTATACCAAAGAAGTCAAGCCTTTCCATCCTGCTTCTCAGACAATGGGGCTGTGCTGTGACCGGTGCCAGAGAAAGGGAATCTGTACACATTCCACGATCTGGGTGTTCAACTGTAAGTCATTCTCAGAAAGGAAGAAAAGAAAAAGCAGTGCATTTTGCACATGAGGAGAGAAAGAAGGTGAGGGTGGTGGGAGTAAGGGAGTGGCAGCGGCCGAAGCAGGTAGTGAAATTCCCTGGTATCTAAGAAGAGCCCGTAACCAGCTTGCTCACATGACTGGCTGTTGCCCAGACCTTAAGCGTGGGAACACCTCGTCTGTGTAATATTGAAAGCTTGGGCTGGAGGTGATTTCTTTCTTAAAAAGCAGGTGCTTTCAAAAGGTTTGTCTCGAGAACTCTTGGGAAATTTCTTAACACACCGCACCATTTTATGAACCTTCCCCCCGAAGGTGATTGTCATCAGCATCTCTTCCAATGTGTCTAAGTACCCAGAGTGTCCAAGGTGCTATGCAGCTGTCGGCCACATACCCCTGCAGCTGTTTTAAATTAGAGCCCTTTGCATCAGCTGCCACTGGAAACGATGCCCACTTAGATGGGCCACCGGGGTCTGCATTCTGAACATCCTCTGTCCATTCCCCCTTCGAGGGCCTCTCCATCTGTTCCCGCTTCCCACCCTTTCCTACCCCACCCTCCATGGTTTTTTAAATCAAGAAAGTTTCAGGGAATCAAGAGGTGGGGGGTTCTTTTCAGCCCAGCAGAATCGCAGAGTTATATATTTTGCTATGAATAGTGTTGTGGTACAGGAAACCCACTCTGCCCGTCAGTTTGTGACTAGTGTGTGTGTGTCTGCACTCTCGGTAACTTGAATGTTGAGCCAGCCCTGTGGCTTCAATGTGGTGTCGTTGAAAGATTAAGCCACACAGCTTTAGGAAGCCCACTCGTTTCTTGCCCTGTTCCCTCCCCAATTCTAGAGTGTTGTGTGTGAACACACTGGGTTGGGTTTTCTGTTAAGGATATGGGGGGCGATTTGTTGGGAGATGGACACAGAAGCAAGATGTCACCTGTCTTGGTGATTGGAATCATGACAGTCCTTACTCTGACCTCTGGTTCTCCATGGCCCTGCCCACACTATTGGGAAATCTTGTTTCCCTCCCTCCAGCACTCTCCCCATCTCCTTACATATTTACAGTTGTATGAATCAACAACAGATCCACCCCCACCCCCCGTGTCAGCAGTGGCGCCGCCCTTTGGTTTGCTGTGGTACTTTGCTGTGTACTCTGTGGCCTCACGTTACTGTGTAAATAAATTCAGTTTAATATACACAAAGAACCAGACTTCGTGTACACGTCCTTCCAGCGACCTGTCCCTGGTGACACGCGGCGCGGGTTTGGCTGCAGATGCAGCTCTCTTACTCATTCCCTGAACCAGACCCTCAGTCAACATGCCCTCCGCCTCCCGACCCCATCTCTCCTTTTCTCTTCAGGGCCTCTGTAATTTGAGAAAAGGAGACCAAGTGGAGGTGGCTGCCCGTTCGCTGGGTGAGATCGCCCCCTGGTGTTCAGTCATGACAGGCTCCCTTGTTAGAGAGGCTTGGCCAGCAGCGACAAGCCTACACATCTACAGAATTCACACACTTGAGGTACCTTAAGGTACATTGTCCCATGAGACATCCTTCCTAAGGCAGACAAGCTCATAGTCAGGCCACCTGGTGTAAGCAGGAGACCGCAGTCAGCAATGGCAGTACCACACGACTGAAGCAGCACAGCTGAAAGTACGGATGTGTAGACTGTAAGCCAGCTTAAGCTCTGACTCCCTCCACTGCCGCCACGGTGGGCGGTCTCCACAAAATGTTCACGCTCATCTCCACTACCAAGCCCTCTAGAATTTACTAACACTGTTCTTAAGGCTTGCCCAGCAAGGTAGCTGCCAGGCTTGGGTTTTATGTTGCTGAGGTATAAACTCCATAAATGTGGGCTGTAAACTGTTTCCTGCATCCAGGAGGAAGAGACAACAATGACTAGACATTTCCCAGGGACACAGGCTTTGCATACTGCATGTGTGTGGGGGGGGGTGGCATTGGGTCCTAGAGGTCACAGGGAATGCTCTTCACAGATTGGGCGACTGCCTAACACTAGTTGTGCTACATGAGTAGCCACCCTGGAGGCCTGAAAGGATATGGGACCTGGAGGTGATAGGCCAGTCCACATCGCATTGGCTTAGCCTGAATCCCAGAAGGCAGAGAGGTTGGAGGACATGGGCCATTTAACGCTTGTCGTTAGCATTCCCACAGAGTCACCCATGTACAGAGAAGCTGATTTCCTTCCTACCTGCAGCCCTGCGCTGTGTGCCCCCCACTCTGCTGCCTGCTCTCCCTAGCCCAGCCATGAGACTTCCTTCAAAGTGTGCCTGCGCTCCATGAGGGAAGGAGCTTCATTAGCACCTTAGGAGCCAGGAGCAGCAGTTGGCAGATCGCAAGCTGTCATTAAAAGCAGCTCAAGGCAATTACAGCTAAAACTTAAAAATTGGATTTCACACTGGGTGGGGGCCTGGAGAGGGGCCTGGTTGCTAAGCTCCAACTCAAATGTGCAAAACTCTTTAAGAGGAAACAGGTTGAGCATGGCAGGGCTTCTCAGAGTCCCAGATAACCCTCTGCGATGTGCACACAGATGCGCTCACACTGTCCGGTAATCCCTGGTGTACTGGATAACCCTCTGCGATGTGCACACAGATGTGCTCACACTGTCCGGTAATCCCTGGTGCACTGGATAACCCTCTGCGATGTGCACACAGATGTACACACACGTCTAGTAATCCCTGGCGCACCGGATAACCCTCTGCAGTGTACACACACGTCCAGTAATACCTGGCACGTGGGGCCTCTGGAAGGAAGCGAAAGCTGCTGAAAAGCACAGTGGCCATACCTAGGGGGGTGGGAATGAAAAGATGGCTCAGCAGTGAAGAATGTCCTCCAGTTAATCTTGTTCTTGCAGAGGACCAGAATGCAGTTCCCAGCACTCAGCATGTGGTTCACAACTGCCTGTAACTCCATCACCAGGAGCGCCCACACACGACACATATAACACATAATTTAAAAATAATAAAAGTTTCAGTCAGGTGATGGTGGCACATGCCTTTAATCCCAGCACTTAGGAGGCAGAGGCAGGCAGATCTCTGTGAGTTCGAGGCCAGCCTGGTCTACAAGAGCTAGTTCAGGACAGGCTCCAAAGCTACAGAGAAGCCCTTTCTCGAAAAGCCAGTAATAATAATAATAAAAGTTTCAAGATTATAAAATTAGAACAATAAAAATAAAATTAATTTTTAAAAACATATGAGCAAGGCTGGGGAGGGGTGGCTCTGGGAAGTCTATAAGCAAATGTTTAGGAACCTCCAGGGAAGTAGTTTGCCTGCTGGGAGAGGAGTACAGGGACCTGTAGATTGGTCCCCACCACCCCCCACTGCTCACCAATCAGTGCTTGAGCCAGAGTCAAGGAAGGGACAACTGCCTTCAGGCAGGGCTAGAGAAGTTAAGAGTTCTTCAGCATTTACTGCTATTGTAGAGGAGCCAGCCTTGGGTCCTGGTACCATGTCAGATGGTTCACAACCACCTGTAACTCCAGCTCCCGGAGATCTAAGAGCTCTGGCCTTCTCAAGTACCTGTCCTCATGCATAGATAAATACATACACACAAACACAAAATTTAAACCGTTTAAGTTTAGAAACAATTTTTTAAAATACTTCAGAGCTTGCAGTCATCCTTCCACTCTCACGCTCGCCAAGGGCCTTTCTTGCGTCACTCCAGCAGGTGTGGGTGTCTAACCTCCTGCCGGCATCTTCATAACCTGCTTTCTGCCTCTTCGTCTCCCTCCCTTCCCCTCTCACGGGCCTTGTGATGCTGGCTTAGCAACTCAACCCCTGTTCTCCATCTTGACCTGTGCTGATTCCAACAGCAGTAAGTGGTCCCCACCCCAGTCTTGCTGGCCTGGCCTGATGCTGGTCCAGAGTCTGCCATGGGCATCTCTCCTCCCATCAGGAGGGTCTGAGCCTCCTGCCTCATCCCACAGACTCTTCTTGCTCTTTGACCTTCCAAAGACAGGACAAGCAGCCTCTTCCAAGAACCTCTGTGCACTGCTCCAGAAAGCCCCAAGCTGTAGATTTTCATGCAAGTGCTTCACACACACACACACACACACACACACACACACACACACACACACACGGGATCATCACCTATATGATAGTTCCATCCTTCTGTCTCGGATGAGGGAAATGCCTTTTTTCACTGTTACAATGCTGATTTGAACCTAGATCTGCATGGTCTCACATGTGCCTTCTCGCCTGCGCCACTGCTGCCAGCTCTGCCTGCAGGATATCAGAACTGTAAGAGCTAGGAGAACAGGAAACGGTAGAGGGTTAAAGGAGACTCCTGTCCTTCCTTCTTCCTTCCTTGTTTTTGTTTTTCTGTTTGTCTGTGTCGTGTGCTGAGCAAGAGCCCCACTCCCCTCTGTCAGGGCCAAGGCTGAACCTCAACTTGCCCAGTTGCTAGCCAGTGTATCATCATAAACCTTCATCTCGTAGCCTGGTTTTGTTCCAGTGGATAGCCATTCGCCCCACCAGTGACAGACTGGCCAACCAGGGCTTCTTGGCATGGCAGAGAGCATGAGTGGGAAGGAAGATGGATCCAGAGGGCCCACCTGAACTGCTGGCCTGGCACGGGGCACTGGTGCGGCACATGATGGAGCAGGCACACCTCCCTACTCTGCACCCCCTCCTACTCCACAGCTGTCAACAAACCCAAATCATCAATTCAGCTGGTATTCTCTTGCTGTGATCCTCCTCTACAGGGACCACTAGGCTTCTAGACTCATGCAACAACCAGAGGAAAGAAACTGATGGCCAACTGTTACTTTTCATCTTTCTGTAGTCGTGGGGTAATCTGCTCCCCCAAACCCCCCATTTCCTGCACAGACATCAATCAAGACTATAAAACTATCACCTTGTAGTTCGTTGTTTGCCTAAATATCTCTCTCTCTCTCTCTCTCTCTCTCTCTCTCTCTCTCTCTCTGTAGGATTCCATTTACAGAAACATAGTATTTCTATGGCCAGGAATCTGTACAGTGCTTTGTTTGCGAGCAGTATGCCAGGCTTCTTGACCGGCAGCTTTTTCACTCCAATAGTCATATGGATAACACATGGGAATCTCTACCCTGGGCACCCAGTCACAAACTGACTGCTGACTGAATAGTGAAATATGAAGGGCTGGAAGAATAGTTCAGGGGCACAGCGCTTACATAACACAGTCAAAGCCCTGTATTTGGTTCCTCGCACTAGTTTAAAATATAAAATTTAAATGTTGTACACGAAGAAATAAAATATAGGAAACAAGAAAGTTTCTGAGAGATGTACCATGAGAATTACAGAGATGAATTATCAGATTGTCTTCTCAGATGTCTTAATGAAATTTGGGTTTAGAGTATCAGTAGGAGTTTTTTTTCTCCTAAGGGAAAAAAATTACAAAACGGTTCTCCAAATCATAAAGAATGAGTAGAAGAATCATAGAAATTGTCAAAGTTAAAAGATTCGAGAAGCTTTGGAAAGGTTTGACGTATAAAACCCCATGGTATAACATCTTAGTTAGGGTTTCTGTTGCTGTGGTGAAACACCATGACCAAAAGCAATTTGGGAGGAAAGCATTTATTTCACTCACAGTTCTATGTAACCGTTCATCAGTGAAAGCAGTGAGGGCAGGAACCTGGAGGCAGGAGCTGATGCAGAGGCCATGGAGGAGTGCTGCTTACTGGCTTGCTCCTCATAGCTTGCTCAGCCTGCTTTCTTATAGACCCAGGGCCATCTGCCCAGGGATGGCACCACCCACAATGGGCTGGACCCTTCCATATCACATTAATTAAGAAATGCCCTGACGGCCTGATTGTAGCCAGACTTCATGAAGGCATTTTCTCAGTTGGGGTTCCTGCCTCTCACATGACTCTAACTTGTGTCAAATGACATTAAACTAGGCAGCACAATCAGTTACAAGGACAAACAGAGCAACGTAACAGAAGAGGTGACCAAGAATGAAAGGCCAGGCAGAGTGGATATCGAGTAAGACATTATATAGGAAGGAAAGTCTCCAGGACACTGTCCACAGCTGTGTAGCTGCTCAGAAAATAATTATTCTGCACACTGTAGACCAATACAAACCCAAATAGATCAAACAGAATTACATGCCACTGAGGCAAGAAGAGAAGAGAAGGGTCCCTAAGAACTAGAAAGAAGACTAAGCCAATATGTGTTTTATCTCGTATCCAAAAAGGATTTTCTAAGATGAAACGCAATGGGA